TGGAATTCACCTGCAGTGAAGAACAACCCAGAACACAGTGAAACGCGAACATGACACCAGCTTGCGCTGGCTGTTGAGCAGCGCCCTCTGGTGGTGAACTGAATGTAAACATATCAAAACACAGAACAATTTCAAATCTAAATTATTAACGTTAAAAATATATATGCATTTTTTGATTTTCAGTAGGACACAGAAGAAGAGTTAAGATGTAACAGGCCCTCTAAAGCTGTTTCACATTAACATTAGTGACACATGCATGATTATAGGAGGCTGACCAATCAGCACACAGCAAGAGCTCAGTGCTTAAGTGAAATCCAGGTCCCTTTACTTTAAATGGTGCTTTACAAACCCTGTCTGAGCTCATAGTGCCCCACCCCCCGACATGGATTAGGTGGTCATCCTAGTTTCCATGGACCTCTGACTGGGCACGTAACTTCATGACTTCATTTCTATGTGTGAAAAAGCTAAAAGTTTGTTGCTGTTGTGTGTGCATTGTTTTCTGTATCATTGTTTGCAATGTAAAGTGTCCTTTAGTGTGAGAAAGGTGCTATATAGGTAGAACTTATTATTATTATTATTTAAAACAAAATGCCAGGGTCTCTGGTCCCTTACCAGCTCTCTATAGAGGAGATGTGAGCTATAGCAGGCTACTTTCCCTAAACCATGGGTTACAGACTTGGTGTACATCTCTTTATTAATAACTGGGACCTATTTTGGGAATGACCTGGCTTTTATATATGGGATGGTCCCCATCCTGGTTGGGGACTATCATTTATGCAGATATTTTACCTGCTTGACTGAGAGCACTACCCAGACCTCAGCCTTGCCATATTAAACCAAGACTGTTCATTCTCCCACCTTTAGCTCATGTCTGGCTGTGACCCAGATGCTCCGTGACACGGCATCCCCTAAATCCAGCAGCTATGCAGAAACAGAGTTGAGCGAGCCTAGAAGGAATATAGGAAGTGTTATTAGACCAAGACTTAGACCGAAACGATCCACTGGGGGCTAATGTGTTAATACCAATTCCACTGATAAGATAAAATGAGCCACAACATAAAACCACCATAAAACGCTGAAAATTACTGAACGTTCCCTCTTTAGGAAATAATCTCCTGTCAATGAGCTGGTGCTGGACACTGGTGCAGACCTGTGTTTTTTAACTGAAACCCGACTCAGACCCACAGACACTATACCTCTTGTTGAAGCCTCACCTGATGGGTTTAGTTTCGTACAGAATCCACGTGACTCTGGGCGTGGAGGCAGCCTGGCGGGTATTTTTTACTCACTGTAAAAAACCGAACCCAAAATTATAGAAGATTTTACAACATTCTAAGCAATACTACTTCACAAGGTGTCTGACCTGCCCATTTATTAGTGCTGTAGTACTAATAGACCGGTCTTGAGACCAATTTTTTGTGGTCTCGACTCTATTTAGTCTCGGTCTTGTCTTGGTCTCGGACATAGGGGTCTCGATGGGATGGGGGAAAAAAGAGAAAACTGCACATCCTCACAGAACAGTATCATTATTTATTACGCGCCTCAATTCACATGCAACCAGTGAGATGCATCTATTTTAAAAACGTTACATTTTATACATTTTCTCAACGGACACTGCCAGTGCGTCACAGTCCACACACATCATACACATCGCATCATAGCGACGTTGGCAAAGAAATGTCCGCAAAGTCTATAGCATAGTTATAATTCAAATAAATTAGGTATTTTACATTGATTAGAAAGCACGGTCTTGGAGGTGCAAGTCAATCTGGAGGCTCATTCTCTTCAATTCAAAGCAAAGGATCATTACATAGCTGTATTCATAGCTTACCCGAGGCCTCTGTCCCTGGTATAAGAGACTTAATATGAACATCTTTCTGGTACATCCCATCTCTTTTCCTTGACGAGGTCTGATAAAATGGTTATAGGAGAGGATTGCTGAGAATATTATTTTCCATCAGGTCTTGTAACTATGACAAATCTGGGTAAATTTAAATGAGAGACATATGGACACATGGACAATATAATTGAAAAGATAACATGAATTTGATTTAACGAGTAATGACACTTTACAGCAATGCCTCTTTTCTCTACAGTTGATCTGAGTAATGTGATGTCGATTCTAGCCCTAGTTTGTTTTTTGTCTTGGTCTTGGTCTCGACCAGTCTTGGTCTTGGTCTTGCCTTAGTGTGTCTTGGTCTTGGTCTTGGACTTGGTCTTGGTACCCTCAAGTCTCGGCAGTGTCTTGGTCTTGATACCCTCTGGTCTCGGCAATGTCTTGGTTTCGGTTTGACTACAACACTACCATTTATATTCTTACGGTATACCTGGAACATATACTTTGTTTCTGACTGAATTCGGGTAAATTCTTACTGACTTATTCATTAACTTAGACAATATCATAATACTTGGAGACTTCAATATACATTTGGACATAGAGACTGATGCTTTCAGCAAAAGTTTCCTATCCCTCCTGGACTATGATGAATGTTACCAACATGTAATGGGACCAACAGCATGTGCACAACCACAAACTAGACATGATTATCACTCGCAGAATTTATGTTCACCACGTATTTGTGTGTCCATTGAATAAGTCCTTCTCTGACCATTTTCTAATCACCTTTGTGATTCAGCCACCCTGTTCTTTCATTCTACCTTTCATTTCTTTGTCTTTCCTTTTCCCTGTTTTTGTATTATTCTGAGCTCTATTTTGATGAGCTAACGCAAAGCGTAAAGCACAAAGCGCAACTTACATTTATAGGCGGCGGATTACTATTACGATGGAGCTTCTGCCCTTTGCATTGCCCGGCAAGCCAGATCGCTTTTCGGCCGAGGAAACGAGGTGAAAAGGCATGAGCACGTCATTACTGGAGCAGCACCGTTCCACCTAAGCTTTTCGAGGTAAAGCAGGCGTGGGACGAGGTAACAGCGTGTGTCCCCATTTTCCGGCATCACCAGATCTTCTGCGCAGTGGCGAAAGCGGTATAATGATCTCAGTAGACGGGAAAGCCGCTGGGAAAAGGGCACCTAATTATGCTTGTGAGTTTTTTTATTTTTATTTTGGGTGTGCAGTTCGCAAAATATAAATAAAAATGCAATCTTTGTTCAAACAGAACAACCTAGTTTCAAGGCGTTTTAATAAATAAAAGGCAATAGGGCTGATATTTTTCTACTCTTACAATTTAGATTCCTTACCAGGCTACAGACGATTCAGCTCTTCTGCCAGCTTATCCATCCTTGCCCGCGCTGCTGCTGCCGCAGCGCATGCAGTTCAGCATCACACTTTCCAAAGTCCTCTAATGTGTCCTTATTTATGTCCAACATACATCCATCATGCATGGCAATGTTACGCTATGCCACAAAGAATCCTGCCACCTTGTGAGGGCTGCATTTTCAGCAATCAAAATGTGCTTAACTTTGATAATAAACTCGAAAGGTTCTTTAATCATTTGTTCTTTATTTAATATTTAGCCGTAATGCTTTTCTTTTGGTGTTTCATTAAATTGTATGATTACGTGAAAGGATGTACTCTATAATAAAACAAATTTAGATTAAACAAAATAACAAAACACCTCAAGGGCATAACCTGCCCCGTAACAAACGTCTAAACTGCGCCGCTAAAATACCATTTAGCAATGCGCCACTGGCTTTAGAGGTGGTTTTTGCTGGTCGAAAGTGCAATGACATTGTGCTGCCTTAAGATAGCAACGCACCGACAATACACCCAGCCACTCCTATGAGCGGAAAGACGGTGGGAAACAATTTGCTGTTTTGACGTGCGTTGTGCTCTGTGCCAGTGGAAAATAGGGCTCTCTGTCTTAATTATGTTAAAATACATCACAAGACACCTTGGAGCAACTCTGTTGTAAACGGTGGTATATAAATTGAACTGAATGACTAACAAAGCAGTGACCATACAAGGAGTCACACAGACTGTCCACCAAGACATACATCCAGCCTGACCAAATGCATGAGTGTCGATGTCAGTGATCCACGTCAGGGGATGTCCACTTCAGGCAATTGAGCTCAACATTTTCCAAGAACCGGGAATGTTTCACCGGCCACAGACTTCGCTGCCAAGCTCGAGCGGTTTAACCTGTGGACAGATTTCACTCCTACGCTGCGGCGGTTTTTAACTAAACAGGAAGAGTCCGGTAAATCACAGGTTGACGGCATGACATGCTGCAAGGGCACAAGACCCAAAGCTAAAGAGGAACACGCCTTTGGGTTTAAAACTAACCCACCAAAATGTAACGGTTTCCTAACAGCCCCAGGCATATCGGACCAGCGCCAAGCCCAGCCATAAGAGCAGCAGATACAGCCTCACAGCAGAGACCCCGCCTCCAGGAAGCCGACCAGCACTGTGTTAGCCAGATACCACAGCACTCTCCCCCGTCATTTAAACCAAAGTGTAAAGTTTGTGTACTTGGACTTTGTGCCCCCAAATAAACATCAAAATGTTCTGGGTTGGTCCAGCTGTCATCAAGGTGATCACTGGCGTTTCCCCAGTTACGATTTTGTCAGACTTTGCAGGTGCCAAGGGCATTTCCAGTGCTAGGAAAGAGGAGGTTGCTGGGTCAAATGCCAGAAGAGCTCATCTTACATTATTTAGGCTTTTAAACGTAGCAAAACCCCCATCAATGGGGCAGACTTTGTCCACCGGAAAATGCCAGGCAGAGCCCAGGTACCATCTGGTGTAAAACCTTGAACTGGAAGTGTGAATTTTTTTAATCCACTTTAGCTCATCCAAATTTTGTCTTAAAACGAACTAGCATTTCTCGAAAATGTTAGAAAATTGCAATCTTCACCATCCTTTTGCCAGTTAAGAATTGCCCCCCCCACCCCAAGAAAAAAAGACCACGAAATTAATGGGCCGTGACACACAATAGCTAGGCATTTACATGTTTTATTTCTTACAAATCTTTCACATTTACAAAACAAACTTTTTTTTAAAAAAAACCTAGTCATCGGGCAACTACAAAGACAGATGTTTTTTTAAAAAAAAAAAAAAAAAAAAAAAACCATAACACATTAAAACACCATTAACAATCACATCAAGAAAGAGAGGGGAAAAGGCTGTACAACGTTATCAATGTCACAGAACAGACAAGACGCGTGCAGACACTCCTGCCACACGCTGGGAGAGGCTAATGACCAGCGCCCAAGGGGTTACACTCGAGCACCAGCAGTCACACTAAGTAGGGGACACAGTGACGTCCGTGAGGGGCATGTATAAATCTCTGGAGGGTGGGGGAAATTCGCCTTCTTAGGTACCTAAGGTGGGATTCCAAAGAGCAGGGGCAAATGGCATTTACCAACTTTGTCATTGTCCATTTGACTCTGAGTGGGGGGTGGGGCAGGGTGCCTTGCCCCTCCGGCCCACTCATCCTCATGCTGCTCCAGATAAGTCTACTGGGTCACCAGCCTAGTACTCCTGCAGGTTTCAGGGGAGACAAAATGAGAATTTAGGCATTGCTCAGCTGGGCTGTTTTCAGGTCACCGAGGCTGGAACTGGTGGCTTTATGCTTAAAATTGTCACTAACGCTTGGGGATAGTGCTTCACAAAGTGGGCCTAACATGTACTGCAACTGCCCTATCTAGCTGAAGCTCCTGAACCCGACCTGCTTTTGAAGGAGACTGACGATGGTTACGGGTCTGAAATGCTGCGTGTGACGTGCCAGCAACAGTCCGCCCGCCTGTGTGGTCCAGCTTCACAAACAGCCATCCATATGAAGGTCAGGACCACCTACTCATCCCCTTTAACAGGCGCCAATCCTCATCAAAAACTGACCTCTCAGATTAAACTGTGACGGGTCAAGACAAGGGAAGAGTTCCCTGAACCCTCAAAAAGGCTCCTTAGCACACCTCAGGGTCCCAGGAACTGGGGCTGCCTAGCTTGTTAGCTTTACGAATCTTGCTGTATTCTCGTAATTGGTCACGTGACCTTCATTATAACCAATAGAATTTGATTGCAGAAATGTATATGAAGCTCAGCTAAAGCTGCCGTTTTGTGCAGAGTGTTAATGACTCTGCTATTCTGACAGGTAACAGGTTAATCAATCTGGATTCGTCATTACAGCAACAGCCTACAAGTGATAAGTAGGTACATTCTTCATTAACCCCCCCCCGAGGTTAAAATGTAACACCAATATGTCAAATGTGTACAGTGGCATCAAGTCCCATTTGAACAGATTTTAAAAGATACTGGTGAATCCCATAGCCGCACGATAAACTTACAGGTCTTGGTTTTTTGTTCATCTTCAGGTCGATTCTACAACAGAATGGGAAACAGAAACGCTGTTTGTTAAGCTGCTCCGTGAGGGAGGAAAAAAAAACAAAACAAAAAAAAAAGACGGACGAAAGCAAGGCTTCCTGTCGGTTGCCATGGTGCCCACAAGCATTGGCACGGGCCACAGAACACACCGGCAAGTCTTTGGGTACTTAATGGAAGCCCCAGAGTGACAAGAAGATCTGCGTTTTTCCCCTACCCACATCTCCATAAACCATCGTGGCAAGAAGAGGAAGAGGAGGAGGAGAAGTGTGGGTAGAGGAAAAAAGCAGAGGCCCGCATCGTTGCTAATGGAAACCATGCCTCGGAAACGGACAACGGATCAGTAACTTGGAACGACCAGGGGTAAGCCTTTTGTCTTAAACGTTGTTCGTAATTCTGTAGAATTTTAACTTTAGGACAGTTAGTCTTCTACCGGGAATCAAATGTTCTCTCAAGGAGACAACAAGCAGTCACCTGGATCTGTATTAGTGAGGGCACAGTGAGGCTCAGAAAACCCACTATGGGCGGGGTCATGTGCTGTCAATCATTGACTGGTTCAAGGCCTTACTGGCTGCTTTGTTCACTCCCAATGAGTTCATCCAACCCGCAGCTGATGGCACTCCACAGTGCCATTCGGAAACTTGGCCACCACCCCCAATCTGTAGCCAACGCTTAAGAGAAAAGGCTGAGGGTCTGAGGCGCTGTACGCAGTCACGCGGGAGCGGCGAGCGGGGCATGGAACTATGCTAGGGAGGCGAAGGGCAGGGCAGATGGAGGCGATGGAGGAAGCCACATGACACAGCACGAGAATGGAATTCAAATTCAGAACTTACTCAAAGTCATAGTCAAAAATCGGGCTGATAGCAGAGTTAAGGGAAGGGGGGGAGGGGGAGTGGGGGGGGGGAAGAGATCAGCACAAATTAATACAACAGCCGCGGACGGCAACTGCAGCACTGTGACAAGGCTACGACACAAAGCACTACAAACGGCACACAGGACGGTCTCTGGATTCTCCTATGTGTGGATGTGTGGATGAGTGAGTGTGTGTGTGTGTGTGCGTGTGTGTGTGTGTGTGCGCGTGAGGGATGTTAAGAGGTCAGCCACAGAAGGGCTCAATTAAGGAACACTATATAAAATTTGAAAACCACATTTAAATGGTGATGCAGAAATAAACTTCGCAAAACCGCTGAAAGGATTTCACAGGCGACACAGGCTGCTGTGAACATGGTGGAGATTTATTTTATTTCAGAAACTGGCTACAGACACCATGTCCTGAGAAGAACCTTCAGATCTCCCCCATCAGAACCAGGCACTTCTACACATTAAACAAGAAACGCTTGGGGTCTTATTTGGGAATGACACCAGTGAAATCATTATTTACTATTCTTTCTAATGTAATCACACCTGCCTTCTGAGAAATTCAGTGTCATTTACTTTCTGGCATTTTAAATGCAAATCCAGCCTTTTTTTTCTTCCAAATTGAAACAAAAATCAATTGTTCTCTGGCACATGGAGGGGGGGGGACTGGATGTTCGGGTTGGCAAAAATTAGAGAAGCTAGAGACCAGAGATAGAGGTGGGAAGTACAAATGACTAGTCCACAGGTTTGTAGTACTTTGGCGGTAAGACACCCAAACAACTGCTGCCCCCTTATAAACTTACCCAAATCCACTATAAGGGAAAATAAAACAAGATCAACTGATGACAGAACAACAAAAAATTAATTCAACTACAGAACAAATTCTCAAACCCAAAAACTGGTTTGAAAGAACAGGAGAAAAAAACTGGAAGAATATAAACATCCAACATATCCAACCTGACCTATCAATCCCAGGTGGCAGGGTGGGGGCAGGATCAAGGCTGTGGAGAGGGGTACCTGTGCCGGTTCTTGTTTTTCCGTTTCTTGTGGCTGCCATGATGGCTCCCTGCAGAGGACGAGGCCGCCTTCTGCGGCTTGACACCCTGCATTGCTCCGTCCACATCCTCTGCGTCCTCTTGGCTTGGCTCGTTCTCCTGGTTCTGAAAGTCTGGTGAGTTGTCACTCTCTGTCCCGCTCCCTGGCTCACCTGTGAAGGGGGGGGCGTGAAGTGGAGGTCAGTCGGCTGTCTGTGATCGAACCGCCCCCCCCCCCACATATACACACACACATGGGCAGCAGAACACTGACACTCACGCTTCTCTATAAGCTGATCCTGGATGCCCCCCAGAGCACTGACAGCCTGCAACATCAAAAAGAAGACAGGAGAGGTCTTTGGGAAACCTTAGGGACATACAAAATGGGCCACGCTTTAATTTGCGGTATGGCGACCAAATGAGCACAGCGGGCCCACCCACCGCCACAGAGGTGACGGAGGATTTGCTGAACAGCCGTTCGGCTTCCTTGAACTTGCGGTTCCTCCGATCATTCTTGCTGTTGGAGTTCCTAGGTGAGAGGAGACACAGCCAGCGTGAAACATGTTCGCTTTCAGCATGTTGCCCATACAAGTAAGCCTATTGACAGGAGCCTTACTTCTGGTTGGTGAGGTAGCGGTCCCATCCTCGGATGATGTTACCATACATCTGAGTGTCTTCCAGGTAACTTCCCTCAAAAGCATAGATCTGCCTCTCAAGGTTGGCGAGGGTCTCCTGTAATGAGCCAATAAACCGACGTGGTAGAGTAAGTGGCATGGAATCCCTCTCGGGCTGCTATTCAGTTTTCATACCGGTCAGATTCACACTGCGATTCTCTGCTGCACTGCCTTTGTACACGTAAAGCACTATACACCAACCTTTACTGCATAATATAAAGACGTCAGATATGTTTTAAATACGAGCTAAGAACTGACCATCAGGCACGGCATTTAGCTCGCTACCGCGAGAACAGCGCTAGGCCGCTGCGAGTCGTATTCGCACCGGTCTTTCCTAAAGACGGCATGCCGGGCGAGAGCTCCCTCGGGCCCCGTCGGCCGCGTCCCTGGCGCCTGCGCCGGAGACCTATTCACGAAGGCGCTCTACGCAGTTTTCTACTACACGGGAAATTGGCCCGAAGACGCGAAGTTACGCTACTGACGCTTCCGCTGTGCTCGACGACACAGCCGCCGTTTCATCAGCGGAGGCCTCCAGCTCGCCCAAGCTAACGTTCGCAAGCTACGGGCTATCGGCGGGTTTGCTACCGCAAGCTCCTGTTTCCTCTTCACCAGTTCCGTGAGCTCCCGACGCGTATCGGGAATCTGAGGTGGAGTAGCTTTGGTGTGCATCGCCATACTGGATGTAAAAAATGTAATAAAAAATTAACCGAGCAGACCGAGAACGCGCCTGCGAATGGAAAGTCCAGTGGCGTTCCAGCCGCTCACCACAAGGGGGTGATACATGACAAACGTCGGACGTCTATTGCGTCCCTTTGTTACGCAAGGAGGAAAGTAATTAAATATTCATTAGATCTTTCAACCAATAAGGACTGACGATATTCTGACTATTCTTTTAATATTTTGATATAATATTTATGCTCCGTTTGGCAAAATTAATATAACCAAACAGACAATGTCTTTCATGAGACGCCTCCTGCTATGATATGTGATTTGAAAGGGGTGGATATTAGTAAACAGCCATCAAGAGCACAATTAAAATAAAATCGTAATTTATAACATTCTGAAGTTAATTATATTGGATGTTTGAGGTGGTGGATCGCACCTGTGAGGTGCCGGAGCGCAGACTGCTCTGAGCCAGAGGTCCAGTAGTTCAGCTGGACGTAGCCCTACCTGCATGTTACCTGAAGCTCCAGGATAATCTCGACGTTGTACTTAATTACCAATTTGGCAAAACAGATGAAAGGATATCACAAATAATTCTGCATTATAAGTAGAATCAGTAAATGTGATGTTGCTTAAAATGCGTTATTGTTACTAAAGACAGATCCGTATGTATGACGTCATCGTGGTCTCTAATACTTTACAAATTAACCACTGGGTACGCCCAGTAAGAAATGACAGTGCAATCACACACTATGGTCAATTTATTACGGAAGACCAGGGAGAATATTAATCATTATTGTTTTCTTCCCGTTATCTCGAGATCACGACTTTTTTTACTCGTGACCCCGAGATATTTTTCTTGTGACCCTGTCATAACAAAAGTTATCTCGACATCACGTCTTCTTTGTTTTTCTGATGTGGTGATATAGATGCCTGTCGTTCACTTGTGCGTGCCACAGCATGAGCACAGGAGAGTGAAGTCAAATAAACTTTCTATTTACTATTATTGATACTTAATTAATTCCCATGGGGCTCCGTAGGTGAGAGAGCTGGTGCCCATTGAGTTGGGGGTTAAAGGCCGTGATCAAAGACCTAATCTCAGGCACAGAAGCTTATCCGGGGGGGGTTGCCCGTGAAAACCCATAGTCAGGAAAGGGAAAGAGAAATGTAGGCCTACTCATTTGTGTTGTGTTTCTTGGAAATATCAAAGTACATTACATATCCCAAGTAAATTTATATAAATTTAGAAGTAAAATTTTCAATAATCCGATTTCATTTTATTAAATATTTCAAAATTAAATATACAATGAAAACATTTTACTTGTGTCGTCATCTCTGCGCGTGCAAGGTCCACGATGAAGAGCTAGTGAGAGGAAAAATGAATGAGAAAATGAAGAAACGTTAACAAACGTCTTTTTTTTTACCAGGGCTGCTCTCTCCGGAAAACAGACTCAGGGCTGGCATTGATGGTGAGTTAGTATTGATTTTCGTTTGTGTTGTATGCTGTTTAAGGTTGAATTTTGCTCTTAGTCGGCTTTATTCATTTATGTCAGAAATATGGCAACTGCTGTCCGGTACGTGTAATCAAAAAGGTTGGGAATCCCTGGCTTAACCTACCGAACCACAGGCTGAACCCTATCTATGGCTTTGGAGAAAATCTGAGATTGGGAGGAGTGGGCACGATTTAATTTAAGCACCAAGGTCTGTTTATTGGGAGAGACAAATAAATTAAATAATCAGTCTTACTCAAAATGTTTTGTTTCTGTCCATTACTTCCGTTAACTATCTAGTGGAGACGTAGTGAGTAGTAATCTTTAGACTACCTAGCAGTCTATGACTGTCCTCTCTATGGAACAAATGTTAGAATTCTTTAACAGCTCATTGTAACGCTTCCTTTAATTGGAAAATTCATTCAAAGCTTTAGTTGCCATATTTGTCCTCAAGTGACGAGCACTGATATGATAATTGTCCAGCGCTGACAGGAATGCTGCTGTTTCTGCTTGTGACGGCAGGGCGGGCAACTTTGGTCACCTGGCAGGAGTGAGATTTTCCGACTCTGGGCCTGAGTGCGACTTGGATGGACATATCTAGGAAAGCTGGTGGAAGAGGTGTTGGCATAACCAACAGGGAAGCTTTTCCCATCGTCTGGGTGGATCGCAGTTGCAGCGAGGGGGACACTTTGCTGTAAAAATGGTAATGAATGAAATGTAAAAGTTCAGCCGGCCTTGAGAACAGCCCTAACTAGACAGATGTTGATATAAATTTGGTATTATTATTGACAATTAAGCATTATTATATGTTTCATTTAAAGCAATATCAACCTGCAGGTGCTGTTTTTATTTTCTTAATATCTTTTGTATTTATTTTTTCTTTTTTTGCAATTTTGGTGTCATCCAGCAGGGGGCAGTATAAACTTATAAATAGTTATTCCTCGAGCCAACGCCTGCAGTTAGGAATGGTGGGCTTGTCCCAAAGGAAACCACTTTCTGAGATTCATTTTAATATGTCATCACCTTAAGCCCCCATAAACAGCTTTGGGCTATGCTGAAATGTCATCTGAGGCTGTCTTGAGTGTGGGCCTCGTATACCCCCCCCCCCATTCTTGTTAATTTGTCCACTGAAGCTGTTCAGTGGCCTTGTGGGTAGTGTCTTGGAGGGGTTCTTAGTTCCGAAAGATGTTTATCAGAGCCTACACGAGACGTGTCTGTTCTGCTTGTCGGTCACCACTCGAAGCTGGTCTGGGCTCTTGCCCCAGATTCCACTCTGTGTGTGTGTGTGTTTTGGGGGAAGGGTTCTCTGTTGGATCCTTCCCAGTTTTCTGTGATGGTGTCTGGATACACTCTGGGTTTCTGGGGTCTCTGGGCTTCCATTCCTCGATATTGGTACGAGTTGTTTTCCTGGTGTGTTGCACCTGCCAACGGCCCACTGGGGGTGCAGTCCCTTGACCTCCATGACTTATTTTTAGCAAATGATGCGCCGATTAAATCAGATTTGTTAATTATAGAGGAATCATGGCTTCCACACCCCTGACCACATAATGCCATGTCTTATGGCACATTGTATTACCTGGGCTTTTGGCTGCCAGCTTGCCTTGACTTCAGCTTCTGGGCCATACAGCCACTCTACCCACCTTGTTCCAAACAGGCTAAAGGGAAACTGGGAAAACATGTTTGAGGTTCATCTAAGGGAAGCTGGAAAGCATCATGCCAGATCTGTGAAAGGCTGTGAGGGGGTGGGAGGTGGAAATCGGTAATAACAGGGGTCTGATGGGTGATGTGGAGTGCAACATGCATGGCATGTTCCAAGGCTCCGGCATCATCAAACGACCCTCTAGCAAGGAAACGGGAAAACGAGAAACGCCGGCCAGCGGATCTGCCTGGGAATGTCTAGCTGGCTGGGGGCGAGTGCAGGAAGGACCCCGGGACGCCCATGTATGGGGGGGTGTTGACCCATTCTCGCAGAGGAGAGAGCGAGGAATAGCACTGTACAGTCTCTGGTATCAAGAGGAGTTTTACTAGCAACCTGTGGTGCTGCTGTTCGTGTGTCGGACTCTCCATGGACCTCACGCATGGCTCGCTGAGGGGCGGGCAGAAAAGTTCCCAACGGACCCAAAACTTTCAGAGGAGCTCAACCGGAGTGTGCTACGAGACACGGCCATGGTGCTGAACCTGAAACCGGCATCTTGGTGTATGGCAGCAGTCGATAGAGGTAGCTGCTAGCGAATTAGCTGCTAGCGAATTAGCTGCTAGCGAATATCTGATATTGGTTTGCTGCATTAGCAACTTTGACAGCTGCAGTCCCTTTATAACTCTGTTCAACATCCTGTTCCAGCAAAGCAGGTTGCCCTGCAATTTAGCCTGTGATTTAACGGGGAGCCCCAGACGTGTGGCCTCCCCATTGCCTCCCGGAGAGCCCCCATTTCTGCATGGGCAAGCCTTGCTGTCGTCTGCCGCGTGATGCCGATTACAGAATGCTGAAAAACATATCAATCAGGACCCAGGAGTCCCAAAGGCACAGAGGTTTCGCAATCGGCCAGAGAGGTTTGCTTCATCGCTGGGTCTCCTAATTAGATAAATGGAGTAGAGTCACCCAAAGGGTGGGTGGATGGGGGGGGGTTGCACTTGATTTCCCAATACCTCCTTGTTCCCAGGCCACTGAAGACATCCGTACACTTCTCTCTGGCATCTTTTCTTGAGCCTCTGCCCTGGCTAGAATGAACTAGAATCTAAGAACTTTCCAGGAACCTACTGCCCACCCAGACATCAAGGAAATGAACCAAAAGCGGCACGTAAAGGCAGACACCATTTTGGGCTGTTCTGAAATATTTTTTTGGTCAAAACTCACTTTCTGTTGGTTCTTTCATTGGCTCCCATTGGGTAAATGCAGGTTAAATGAATGTTAGCACATGTTTATCGTAGACAGTCAGAGGTTCAAAGCTTTGTTCCTCCCAACAGTACATGACTCTGTAGGCTTGGACAACGTACTGAACTTGTCAAGGTTTGTTAAGGATTACAAATGTGTAAAATTATGTAAATGTATGCAAGCTTTCTGGATGAGGAAGTCTTCTGTTCATCCAAAGGCTGTAGTTAATGTTTCGATATTGCGTTACCAGAGTTCTGGTGCCCCTCTGCAGCCCAGAAGTGAACTGTATGTAATGGCTTTTGTTGCACGTGTGCATCTGTGTGTGACTACGCTGCGGCCACCCCACACTTCCTGGGATTGGCTCACCGTGATCCTGGTGGGGTAAGTGGCAGGATGAATGAATAAATGGATGCATGGATGGATGCAGAGGGGCCTTGAGCTCAGGGAGGTGACTCAATGGGGTTGGACCTCTGTGCCTGTGATCGTGTCCCATCCTTGTCATATCTCCGTTGGACCCATCATCAAGACCCTTAATCCCCAGAAATGCTCCAGGGCATCAGATAAATGGCTTAATGAATAATGAAGTTTTCATGTTCTCCTCGCTAGGTTATCTCTGCATTCTCCAGGAAAGTTGGGAATCCCCAGAGGTGTGAGTGGTGTGTGTGTGCCCTGCGATGGGTTGGTGCCCCATCCCTGGTTATTCTCTGCTTTGCGTCCATAGCTTCCAGTATAGGCTACAGACCCCCGCACCCCTGAATAGCACAAGTGGGTATGGAAAATGGATGGGTGTATGGAAATTGTCTTCATTTGTGGATGGTGTGTGTGCCCTGCGATGGGTTGGTGCACCATCCTGGATAATTCAATGAATGAAAAAATAATAATTAAAAAGTCTGAGGCTTACAACAAAGGTAAAAACTCAATTACTCAATTCTCTTGCACAAATGAGTAATAGCAGATCAGGTGCAGTTTACGGGGGCTTTTCTCCGCAGCCCCTCCCCTCCAGGCATGTGACCCCGATTGACCCCATGACTTGAAGCAGATGGAGAAAGACGTGCTTCATCTCTGAGATGCATGACAAAACACAACAGGACACAATGAGCGTTTGAACAGACACGCTTCATTTGTGTGTTAACTGCATTTGAATGTTTATTAAAGTATACGGTACTGTCTTTTACTGCAATATATTTAACCATCCAGAGCGTTCACAGAAATAATGAGATTTATAATAATAATAATAATAATAATAACAATAATATTTCTAATTATTAACAAACTGAAGTTGACAGTTATGTGTCTCCATCCAAAACAATGCACATATATTATATGATGCTAGTATGTGGGTGTAAATAGGTCCAGAGAAAGCTTAAAATGTGATGATGATGATGATGATGATGATGATGATGGAGGATGAAGTTGAGGACGAAGATGGCAGCCATGGTGGTGATGATGGCAACAGCGCGGACAGCTATGCCAAACCCTGGGCTGTCCGGTCCTCTCCATCAGAGCCAACGATTTGCGGAAGCAGCCGTCGGATACGCAAGACAGGAAGTGTCCTGCCTCCGATATTTTTGTAATACCACGTAAAAATTCCCAAGAGGCCGTGCAATATCTCGGACCCTGTTGCAGACATACATGGGCTCTGAGCAGCAGCAGATGGCTTATAAAAAAACCAGAGGACTTTGATTATTGAGAAGTAACTGTTACATTACAATAGTGTCCCTCCTCTTTTGTCTGATTCGCTAAGCTGCAGGGCCTAACAACCATTGTGCACCAATCAGTACACATCTACACAGTCCTTTGTTCACCATGTACTTTCCAGAAAACATCATTTTCTCTTCTGAACAATATTTCCTCTGAAATAAATGACCCAGCAATGGACATATTACCGGATTTGCTTGCTGCTGCTGTTTATCCTCTCTTGGTTTCAAGAAGATATGCAGAACAATACAGATATTAATGAGAAGTTGTGTATTTTTTTTCTCCAAACAAACCACAAATTAGTTCCAGTGCCTTTCTTCTGTCTCACCGTAAAATAGGAATAAAAGTCTTTAATGCTGTTTATTTCCCCCCGTATCAAATTGAAACGACTCTGTTCGCTGCTACATGCGGGGAAGGTGATGGTAGCCAGCACTGCGGAGAGTGATCAAGAGAAGATGAACGGTCAAAACCACACAAAGTTTCGGTCTGAACCTTGGGGTCTCTGAGGACCCCCCATCCTAATTTCCTGGGAGGGTCTCCCATCTCTCGGCCACCATCTGTCTGTCATTTAATGTACTCGGGAAAGGAGAAAAAGCAGGATAAACATAATTCGTGGGTCTAGTGACAGTGACGTCCCTGGTGGGGGAAGGCCATCTACCAATTGGGACAGAGCTCCATCACTGCCCGCCTTTACCTCTCCTTGCCAGCAGGTCCTCTGCTCTTTCCATTCATTTCCGATTCATTTGGTGTACGTGCAGGTGGGTGTGGCCTGGGGCCCCGCCCTCTCCTCGTTCCCCTCCCACTTGGCCCTGCCCACTGCAGAGCTATTTGACTCCGCCGGGTGTGAGGGTTGGAGCGGAGGTCACCCGGTCTTGGGGCTTCTTCCTCTTGCCCCCCCCCTTGCCTCCATCTTTGGCTTCCCGGCCACGGTTCTTGCCGTTCTCCTTGTTCTCTTTGTTCCGCTGCTCCTCCCTGCGCTCGTTCTTATTCTTCCCCCTGTCTGAACGGCGAGAGAACAGGGCCCCATGTTTACAGGAGTATGAACAGGAGTGTGTCGACGTGCTACCCTGAGGGCCGATTCTAAGGCCGCGATTCATACACAAGGGCCAACCTTATTAGTCACTGATATGTCACCGGTGAGTGACAGGGGAGGGGCCCAATCACCTTTTAGCTGGGGCCAGTACCCCTGTTGCCCCGCGCCTGTATACACCCCTGGTCACCCTGCCGCCAATAAATGAATGGGCTCGCAGTCAAAATTATAATGACACACTTGAAAAAACTGAATTCAGTCTGACTTGAAAAGCAGCATCACCGAATCACCATTAAAGGCTCTGTCTTGTTGTTAATATCTTACATTAAATGCCAGAAACTATATCGAGATATTGAGAGAGTTCTGGCCAACAAAGCCTGTCAGTTCACACTTTTTATATGTAAAATGACTGAATCCCTAAAGCTGGACACGAGATCCCAAGGAAACTGGATAGTGGGGGCAAAGTTCTGAAGCTG